CGTCGTCGGCCAGTGGCCCGCGGCCCTACCAAGTCTGCGAAACGGCTCTTACGCGCCCCTACCAGACTCACTCCTAGACCTGATCGAAGACAAAGTAGAAGATCTCGACGAGCTCAAAGGTCGCGTTGAATCCAAGCTCCTGCGCCTATCCCTAACCACTTCCCGCGGCGAACGTGTCGGCCCCTCAAACGCATACCTGGACTGGCTCGCCGTATGTCTATTCCGTCAATGGCTGATAGAAAACACTACACCGCCACCAGCTCCCATTCTCAAGAACTCGGGCCCAGGAAATGGTCCTACCCAGCCCACCGCATCAGCGTCACACCCGACAACTACGCCGCGATCAACCACCTCCCCAGACCCATCTGCGCGCATCTATAGATTGATTAGCTCCGCTTCTACGCAGGCATACCTGCCTCACGAAGAGCTAAAGCGCTTCCTCAAACTCCATCCTACATCCTCCGCCGGCTCGCTTTACACACGCGAGACTCTGAAACGCTTTGAGCGCAAGATGGACGAGATGAAACGGCTGGCACGAGATATCGTCAAGCCGCTTATGCGGAATTTCCTCGAATTGGAGCTGAAAAGTCCAGATCAAACAACTGGCACCGTTGGTCCTCGTGAGAATATTTCCGCGGGATTGCCATATCTGACATGCACCCGTGTTGAAGATATAGATCTACCTTGGGAATGAGCCTGACAACTTCTTGGGATCTTTTTATTCAGCTCATTTTGTGCTAATTATCTTCTTGGATATGTCTGCCCTACTTGGAGTTTTCGACGGCGTTTGGTTATCTCTTTTCTATCTGCGCCTTTCCTTCTCAGGCTGCTGGTCTTGTCTGACGAAAGAGACCAGATTGTACCCCTGCCTCTGTGATTTGCAATGATGTGATGTTTACTTGATTTATGTTCTTGTTTCTGATTCATATGTTCACGATGTCACGAATGGCTCTGATTTGTTCTATTCTGTTTTTTATTTAATATTGTGCTCTATCCTGCCCTCAATATGGCAGGGACCGGCGGTCTTAAGGCCTCATTTTTGTCTATGTTTTAAAAGATACCAAAAGATCACACGCAATGCAATGCAAAATTTATGAAGATAATCATCTATCCTTATATTACAGGTAGCTCAAATGAAGCAGACTCGCAATACATGAAGTATATGTCCATAATCTACCAAAAAAAAAAACGTAATATACAGCGTCTCCAAGAGAGCGAGAACAATTCCTCAACCATTTCACCTAGCTCCGACCAATACTCTCCATTCCATCCATCCAAGGCCGCAAAACCTCGGGAATAACAACAACACCCCGCTCAGCATCCCACCCATTCTCCAAGATCGCCGCCAGTACACGCGGAACAGCCATAGCAGTCCCATTAACCGTATGTGGGAATCTTGACTCCTTAGCGCCACCGCCACGCACTCTCGCCGCCAACCGACGGCTCTGGTAATCCGTGCAGATAGAAGCAGAAGTAACCTCACCCCAAGCCGACTCCAGATGATGAATCTTAGGATCAACCGGCGTAGCAGTACTCGACGCAGCGCGCAGACGAGACGGGAACAGCGCCTCGATGTCTCGCTTGCGCGTCGCGCTAGCCCCCAGATCCCCACTCGGCATCTCCAGCACACGACACGGCAGATGCAGCGCCGTCAGGATCTCGGTCTGCATCTCCAGCAGCTCATTGAACATATCGTCCGAGCTCGGCACGGCCCCGTCCACGCTATCCGTCCAGCCGAACAGCTCGACCTTGGTGAACTCGTGCACGCGGTACAGGCCCTTCGTGTCGACGCCGCGGGAACCCGCCTCGGCGCGGTAGCAGCGGCTCGCGCCGACGAGCTTGATCGGTAGCTCGGAGGCGTTGATGTCGCGTCCGGCGTACATGGCCGCTAGAGGGATCTCGGCGGTGCCGGTTAGCGAGCGTTGGGGTTTAGTATTTTTATCGCGCTCGTTCTGCTCAATAGACCAGATCTGCTGCTCGTTGTGCTGGTCGCGGGGCTGGAAGCCGCACGCTTCGGCGATGTAGGAGTAGACGATTGAGGGCGGTGCGACGGTTTTCCAGCCGCGGCGTCGGGCCGTGCTTAGGGCGTACTGGACGAGTGCTTGTTCGAGCATTGCGCCTTCGTTTATCAGGAAGTACCAGCCCCATCCTGTTGTTGTGGCTGAGCTGGCGAAGTCGAGGAGGTTGAGCTCTGTGCCGATTGTGACGTGGGACCGGGCTTGGAGCTCGGTTTGGGATTGGCGGGTCCAGGAGGGAGGTTCTTCGGGGTTGAAATTGATGTACTGTACGAGAGCTGGGTCGTGTCCGATGGGTGTAAATGGGGAGGAGAGGTTTGGGAGGGAGAGGGCTAGTCGGTTGATCTCTTCGGTGCAGGTTGCTTTGCGTTCTGTCATGGAGTGCGAGTCATCCTTTAGGCGCTGAGCTTCTGATTTGAGTCCGGCTAGTTCTTCGCTTGGACTTGGGCTCTTCTCGTTGGTATTTCCATCTGTATCTTGCCGAGTCGCAATGTGTAGTTTGGCGATGGTCTTTTCTAGTTGCTTGATGCGGGATCGAGGGGTTTTCAGATCGTGATCAAGTTGTCTAGCCTCCTCTGATAATTGTTGAATTTTCGACGGATACCCGGCGTGACCTGCATAGTTGCGATCTACGCAGTTCTGTGCGTAGAGGTCGGCATTTTGACGGATGTGTTTGACGTCCGGCGTGGGCTTCGGAGCTGTTGCGGGTCGCAAGATGTCTCGATTGCGTCGGGCGGAGGAGAAATTGCGCAGAGATGCTTTCAATCCTTTTGAATGCCTGCAATTGAAGCAGACGTATGAAGTGAGTGCCATTGGAGGTGGAGAGGAAGAAGAGAAGAGAACAGGCCATAAAGGTGGATAGTGGATAGTGGATCTCCCGACTTAACCCTTTTGGGAGATCTGCATACAACCCTCCAGGGCTAGTACAAGACCACCCACACCAGTACGTATCGTCAATGAAATTTACAGGATTTGAAAAGGCATTGATGTGGATTAGGGGATGGTGTGTTTAGGTTTATCACAAGCCAGAGGGAGAGGAGATGAGGAGTTGATTGGGAGAAGAGGCCAGCTCTCCGAACTCACTACCTTGAGCTACTAGAGCTTCAGACACCTCAATATATAACTATATAACTACATAGTTCACTTCGTCTTTCAGCTTCATTTGTCGGGGGGATCGTAAGATCTACTTATGTAAGGCTCCAAGGTAACTCCATCGCTTTATCATGCAGCATCCTAATGCCAGTGCATACGCCACAAGGTGTTGTCAATTTCCCCGTGCCGAGGCATGTGGATAAATATATAGAGTTGTTAGGTTCTTCACTAGCCAAGACATACACTATTCGGACAAATAATCGCACTAGTTCCCTTATCGTTTGAAAACTAAGCAAAAGTACTGCACATATTAGATTATTATATATTCGTAGGCTAAGCCCTCTACTTCCCGACGTCGACAATCTGGCTCTCTGTATCCCCACTATCCAAAGGCTTAGTCTAATTACGGTACGGAGGTCACCGTGTATATAGGACTTTATGGGAAGTATCCTTCAAACCTATTTGGATCACATTATCCAATGGGAAACCCGGTGCGAAGAACTCATTTTACTTGCCTAACTGAGAAGTGTAGCTTTTAGAGATTTTTTAATTTAACTTTATCACTACAGCATGCTATAGAGGCTATTTGGGACATGAATATTAATCAAATGTTTACGGGATTCTACTGTCTCATGTAGACCTTTGTATTCCATATAAAATGTACAAAGATATGGACTTGGCCAGACCTTTGCATTAGATCTCCACTTCAGGCTGTGGGCACATGTATAGCGTGCATTGTATCGGTTACATACTCCGTATCTATGACTTATGCAACTAGCACTAGAACAAAAAAAGAAACAAAAACACCGTGTCCTGGGGGCCAAAGAAACACTCTCCCGACAAAAAACTCCATAATAGGACAAAAAGAGCTCTCAGTCTGTATGGGGTAAACTAGCGGGGTTCAAACGGCCGAGACACATTGGTAGTCACCTATGTAGGTCAAAGAATCAAAGTTTCGACATACTCTTGTCCCTTGCCGGGTTCCAGATGAGTGTCCAATGCCCACATTAGTGCCGTACAATCTCCACACAGTGCATGGTGGTATATGGCTTGGCTCTAAATAGGATCCACAGTAAGCAAAGGTCAAGTGTAGTAACCCCACCAAGCAGTGCAGTCGATAAAACGCGGCCATAAAGATGTGTCTATTTGGGTCTCCGCGAATGATGTCCATATCGATGGCCTGTTGGTCAAGCCAATCAGCCCTTCTCCCACTATATTTTGTCACATGTAAGCAATATGAGCTAGTTTAGAATTAGAAGAACGGGATTCACCATGGAACGGTCGGCAGTGCTACTAAGGTGCCGTGATATTAAAATCCAGGTCATGATAACTGACACTGCAAATATTGTAACCGCTAGCGCCCACTGCCAGCCGTCCCCGTTCCCCACCTGGGATCTCCATTATTGGATGTGAATAGAAACTCGCAATCTTCTGCGTCATTATCTTTCTCCAATGGGGTTGAATAGGAGCATGCTAAGTGGTGGACTTTGGTGTCATATTCTTGTCTCGAGCTAATGCGGTCATGTAAATTCGACCCCGATAAGAAAGACAATATGGAGTAGACATGGTTTATATGGCCAATCACTGTCAAGGGAGGATATAACAGTTGGCAGACTGAATAAATGTCGAGTGACGGACCTTGCATAATCGGTTCAATTGATTCCAAGGTTGCAAAGAGATTAGAGCTGACAAAAACATAAACTAAAGCTGAAGCTATGCCCCTAAGTAGTAATCCTCAGGGTCTCCTATTTAAAGGATTCACTCTATAAGGACAGGCGGGTGCATACCGTCGGTGGTCCGGCCCCATAATATCTTTAGGACGAAATCGTGCTATGCGGCCATAAATGCTATACATATATCCCTGCAAGGTACCCCTGTATTCTCATGTACATCATGCCATTCAATTCTGACACTCTGCACCACTTGGAAATCTCCCAGGACCAATATAACCCTGGCAATCCATGGCCTGACGATTCGTGGCTAGATGAACTGGTCACCTTGGACGATATCAACCCTGTCGATCCATCATATCTGGGCCCTGATTTCGATCTCCTCTGGTCCCAAATAAACGGAGATGGTCTTTACTCCGTGTCTGGCTCTTCTGAGCCCCCTCTATCCCCATCGACCTCCCTGGTTCCCCCATCAGAATCCAGTTTACAATCCCGGAAGCCTTCCGATATATATGAAATAGGCTATCAAGACACTAGTGGTGACTGGCGCTGTAATTACTTCGGATGTCTCTCTAATCAGATCTTTCTGCGGGCCTGTGACCTGCGAAAGCATTACCGTTCCCATCAGAAAACGTTCTTCTGCAAGGAACAGGACTGTGAGTGGTCAAAAATTGGGTTCTCGTCGAGGAAGGATTGCCAACGGCATATGCGGTCTCATCGGCCGATGATTAAATGCTCTGCGGCGGAAACACTGGGTTGTGAGCGGGTATTCAGTCGAGTTGGTATGTGGTTTCTCATGCCTATGTGTTTTTCCTCCATTTCGTACCCTAGTGCTAATTTATGAAGATAATATGGTATGCTGCTCTACTCGCATTTTGATTTTCTAAAAATCAAAGTCTTGCCCGGCATACTAATAGGTTGATTACGGGTCTACAGAAAGATCATCATCGCAAGGTCCACAAGTCTTCGCAGAATAATGCGTCTCCTCATCTTTGCAGGCGCAATATCAGAAAGAAAGACGATGTCTCTAAGCCATCTGAGCATGATGCTGCGTGACCATGAGGTAGTGGGGTGCCTCTATCTTTTATGATACATCTAGCATAGGCATGCGGAGAGGGAGCAAAGAGAACGGTTGATGAATACCGTGATGGAGGTCACCCACTGTATCTGTGCTTTGAAGTGGTGTGAGATTATAACTTTGGATAGTCTAGCAGTAAGGAATCATTTGAAACCAAATTTGATTTGATCAGCATCTCTCTAGAGCCGTATAATATTTGTATCTCATCTAAGTATAGTCGACAGGCTTGGTAACATCTTCCGTCGTAAAAGAGCAATGCTGCAGTCCCTCGCGCCGAGAGTTGACAACGCCCCAATTCTAGGGCCTCGGGCGACTATAGCTACCCAAGTCGGACTGCTGTCGAGCCAAACCCTAATCGGAATGGATTTGTTCCCCTAAGAGGTGGGAGGTACGGAATCAATATAAACTATCTACGGGTGAAAGAAAATTAAGAAGTCCGAGGGGCGGAGGGGCTTTTCGCAGTATTCATTAAATCTCGTATTCGCCCCTGCTAGTGCTGCCACTTCACCATTCCAGCCTCTGTATAGTCCAATAAATGTAGGCCGATCTGTAAGATCTGCATGTAACTTGCCCTCGTATTTGCAGCGAAAGTACGGGCCCTGAGCGGCTGCAACAACGCCCAACTCCCTTAAGTGCCCACTCTTCCGGGACATCTGATTCGAAGCACTCTCAATGGACCTTATAAGCGTAACTCTAAGAATAATACCATACTTTCAGAGGTCTTGAAGCCGTCCTTTGATGACAAGGCACAGTCGAACCTCTTCCATTATCATCCATGGGACTACGATCCAAGCTCACCAAACCGCGGAGAAAAGTTAAAGGGGCTCTGCAGGAGAAATCTTTTTTTATCATTTGATACAAGGCTGAAAAATACCCTCCATAGCGAAAAGCCAAGGTAGCCCCCAAGACACAAACGCCCGCACAAACGCCAGCTCAGACATCAAAGCAAATTGCCACGGAGAAAGCCACTACGCCTTCTTAAATCCATTAAGACATTTAGCATTGGCCGTGAGCCAAAAAGCTTGGCATGCAGGGACTAAAAAGGCCCGAGGGAGGTGTGTCCGCAGCATTCAACATGGTAGAATCTCAATTTTGATTCAGCTAGACTATAGAGCATATGTTTTATAGATGACGTTGAAGCATCCGGGGGGCACAGGCTGGCCTCCGTTAACACCGAGAACTTCATAAATTCAGTTCATACATGATCTGTAGTATCCTCTCCTCTCCCCTCATTCTCCGTCTCACAGACCTAATTTATGCTTCTTAATTCTGGCACCGACCCCAGCGAGAATCAACACAACAGCAACAAGTACACCCCATAGAGGAACATGAATGGCCGTCAAGTTGTAGTCGGTCTGCGTCGCCGCCACGACAGTCACCATCTCCAGCACTAGCAAAACATAGCCGCTCCAGCGATGATACTTATAAATTCGCTTCCCAGCGTCGACACTACCGAGCACAGTGACTGGCAAAAAGTACTGGATCACACCGACGACGGCTTGCAGCACGATAGCGATGTAAGTAACCAGACCTAGAATACCGTGGGGAGAAACAAAGTGCGGATGAGATCCCTTGTTAACCTCGATGATCACAAAGGCAGACACAAAAAGGACTACGCTGAGCAGTTGGAGGGAGTAGTGAATGCGAGTACCGGTACGCTTCTGTTGCGGGGTGGCGGTTGGTTGCAAGACGAGAGCGGCTTGGACCTGAAGAAGAAGGGCAGATATGCCGAGTAACTGACAACTTCGCTTAGTATCTGCTAGATATTTTGGATATTTTGTTCAGTTAGCTTACTGGATGCGGGGTGAACAACGAGAGGGATTGAGATAAGATGCCCTGCCAGACCAACGCAGCTAACTGTGTTTATTAGTTCTCCGCTCTTCTGAAATTGATTAATGCCCTCACAATCCAGATCCCTGCTTGAGCAATACTTGCTGTTCCTGGGGTTGGAGTTAGTCGTGGGTGTTCGACAAGAGGCTTTCACCCTCACCTGTGAAGAGATTCCGATAAATGCCTTCATCGGGTCTTTGTGTGACATCGCCTGGACGACCCAATAGAGGCCCATCCTCTCGCGATATAATTGTGTCTGGGTGATCTTGCGGTATTCCTGTTGCCGAGGCCATTTCGGGAGATTTGATAAGAAAAAGTGGAAAGGTGGAAAGGATCAGACAAAGAAATTGATTCGAGGCGGTGGCTAAGAATCCTTGCTTGCGTTTTCCAAATTATCCCGCATGAAGTACTTCCAGATTACAGATTATTATTTGACGCGATCGTCGCTTTCAATGACGATTGGTAACATCCGCATATTCCCGAAATACCCAGATTGCATTTCATTTGATAGAAAACAAAGAAAAGATCTAGATTTGGGCTAAGGGACTCTGTTCTTCTGTTACTCTAAATTAATTTGAGAGTCTCACAAGTACGTGGCCATCGTATTATGCTGATACTCCACACAATTACACAAATTCCAACTCCATTGATCTATACTAAACAACCTGGAAAGCACCTAAAATCACAATTAAGGTCTAGGCTCAGGTGATGGGGCACCGCTACGGTCACTTCGATCTGGTCCAAGGGTGTACTGGGCATCCCTAGGGATACAAAAGTCCACAAAGAGCAACATGCTCTCGATATCCCTTGCGACTCTGTGGGCACTGCTATTGTCTCGATCGAGAGTATCAATAAAGTATTCCAACCGTTCATGGAGCTTATTGCACTTGGCTGTCCAACTAGAGTTGTCAAAGTTAAAATGAGCCTGTCCGGCCATTCTCAGACGCGCAACTCGCCGAAGAAGCACATCCAGAGAATTGATAACCATCGTCACGTTCCTCTCATAGTCTCTATCCTTGAGAATGTGAATCTGAGCATGCAGCGTGGTCATGAAATAGCAACGCTCCTGTTCGTATGTACCGTGGGGGGCGCGTCCAGCCATGGTGTCGATAGGAACTAGATGGTGCTGAGTGGAGTGGATCGTGAGGCTTACCTTGGGCCTGTGGTGTTTGTGGGTTTGATGTAGTGGCCTTTGCGCTGATTGCTTGGAGGTTGAGCAGCTGGTGGTGCAACCCGTCCCTTTTATGTCATTGCCAAAGGCTTGTCGAGTACTTGGTCAAAGAGAAGCAAAGCAACAATGACTATCATCAATTTCTTTATATTCCAAACATGGCATTGATTTTCAATAAAGCAATTCCAACACAAAGACGTATCACCTCTGTGGCACAAGACATAGATCTCTATGCCTAGCCCTTTGATATTCACCAAGGCATTGTCAACACAGACCCTTCCTCCCCAGACCCAACCCGACCAAAGACCACCTCCGCGCCCAAATTCCTCGGGTCCAAGTTCATAACAATGTTGAACAAAGTACTACTTCGATTCGAGATATGACGCGATGGATCCTCTTGACAACATATAGACTGAGGCTTGTTATACGTATCAGAGAAGACACATTCTCGCAGCAAAGTAGGTGTAATATCGTCGCCCTGAATACCGGTATCCATTAAGCCCCGAGTCAATTCCCCTAGACGCTCGAGTCGGATAGGTGACCCGGACAGCCACGGCGGCTCATTCACATAGCGATTCTCAAGGAAGTGATTGGTATGGCCGATAATCCCCGACGTATCCTCGGCGATATGCTTGTCTCCCACCGGCGATAGCTCAAGTCCCAGTGCTTTGGTACTGTCTGCACAAAGGATATGCTGAGCAGAGGCAACACCGCCCAGCGACTCGAGGGTTTCCACAGCGTTGTCGACAGAAGTACTCTCCAAACAGAGCCGAAGCGCAACGTGAATCGGGACCTTGCTACTAATCATCGGCTTGGCACGGATTGCATTAAGACAAGTTCCGACACCGTTGGTATTAAACCCAATCTTGCCGACGATTCCTGCCTGGGGATTGTAAGTACATGCTACCATACGTATCAACACAGACAAGAGTACTGACCTCGGTAACCATATAGATGGTCGGTTTCCCAACCTGCTCAATCGATACCATCGCTAGGTTCTTCTTGACAGTCGCCGTCCAGTCCCAATTCTGCGAGAGTACTCGCGCCGTCTCGCTTTTTCTCCAGCATAATGACGTACAGCCATCGGAGAATCGTCCTAGCGCGATCTCGCTTCGGCAGTTGAGCGCGATTATATCAAGAACATCTAGCCCAGCGCCCTCTGCAATACCCTCCATCTCCGTAAATATGTGAGGTGTTAGGATCTGGAGGGTGGACTGAAATTCACTTGCGACTTCGCGCACATCTTTCCACGCTAATTTGGAGGTGTACTGGAACATGGTGTCGTAGATAGAGATCTGGCTGTGAATTTGTGCCCGCAATGAGCGACCATGTTGTAGTCCGATCTAGTTTCCATAAGTCAGTCACAGCTCTTGTATGCAGTCAATAGAGAATGTACTTCTCGAGGAGTGCCCTGGAGCTTAAGCTTGATTGGCTCATTTTCAGACATATTGAATACAATGACTGGAGAATCCCGAGGTCAAAGTCAAGGGTCTCGCTCTTTAATACCAGCCGAGCCGATCTTCCCCTCAGTTGGAGTCATTTGGGGTTGAACCGATAAGGATCGCAACGACCCCTAAATGGCTACAATTTGAAAGTGGAATATTTGTATAGACAGGATAGTGACATAGTCACATGTATGGCTCTATATCTATTGTCTGGATGTTAGTGAAAACATCAGGCAAATATATATTGAACATTTATCCTAATGATATCTATTCATTTTTAATCAAATGCTTGAATAGCTTGTCCAGGTAATAGGCAGACTGCTTAGGATAGCGAGTCTTTTCTTCGGAGTCAAAGTCGATAAAAGTGCAACCGAAGCGATCCGCATATCCAGCGGCCCATTCTAGAAAATGTTTAGTTATTGGTCAACCCGTCAATAAGAATGCACTTACCCCAATTATCAGTGAATGTCCAAGCAAAGTAAGACCGGATATCAACTCCGTCTTCCTTCACAGCTCGTGCCAATGCATTGCCGACATAGCCCTCAAAGAACCTGATGCGGAACTCATCATTAAGAACCTCAGGCGTGGGGGCCGTTTCACCCTTGGCGGTGGTACCATTTTCAGTGATGTAAATCGGCATCTGGTATCGTTTATAGATCCAGTTCAACAGCTTCCTGAATCCCACAGGCGCAGTACGCAGCCACGGGGTATCACTTTCCTCCCCACGAGACACGCCTTGCTTATTATCATCAAAGACCTCCACATTGCCCTTGTGGTCATTGATATCCGGCTCAGCTGTCCTATGCTTCACGAAGAAGGTCGTGTAGCTATTCATGCCATAGAAATCCGAGCTCCCAAACACAAGCTTCGATTCCTCCTCGGTGAACTTGGGCAATCTATCACCGAGCTGCGCTCGCATCGACGCAGGATAATCACCCGTCTTGTACAGCGGATCCGCAAACCAAGCGATCTCAAACTCGCGCGCACGCTCAGCAGCCTCCTGGTCGCGTGGGTCCTCCTCATCCCACGCCTCAGACCAGTTACCGTGCAGTGTGATACCGATAGTTCCCTTTTGCTGGGGCTGGAACTCCTCACGATACAAGCGCACAGCATGACCGTGCGAGACAAGCTCAGTGTGCGCGACGGTGAACGGCTCGGTGGACGAGTCGCCTTCCTCATTTCGCTCACGGAAAGATGATCTTCCTGGCGCGTGCACGCCCGCTGCATACCCGGCGAGGGTATAGACACCTGGCTCATTGTAGGTGATCCAGTGCTTGACGCGGTCGCCGAAGCGCTCGAAGCAGACGCGGGCGTAGCGCACGAAGTCCGGCGTGTAGGCGTCCTGGTTTAACATGCCGCCGTACCGATCTTCCAGGGCCTGGGGGATATCCCAGTGGAACAGGGTGAGGAAGGGGGTGATTCCATTGCGGAGGAGTTCATCGATGAGATCGGAGTAGAATTTGATGCCTTGCTCGTTGACGGGGTCGTCTGCGCCACCGAGGGGGATGATCCGGGACCAGGAGAGAGAGAAGCGGTAGGCGTTTACGCCATAGGACTTCATGAGCGCCACATCTTCGCGGTAGAAGTCGTACGCTCGGACGGCGTCGTCGGCGTTGCTTCCATCGGCGATTTTGCCCGGGGTGTGGCCGAATGTATCCCAAATGGAGACGCCCTTGCCATCCTTGTTCCAGGCGCCTTCTATTTGGGCTGCTGCTGTGGCGTAGCCATGGAAGAAGTCAGGCCGAAGCACACCCTTGAGATCTTGCACTGAGTTCAAATCCATCTTGTTGTGTTGTGGAATGGCAAGGGGGTTGACAATTTATTTTCTAGAGCTTGGAGCTCTCATAGCATATGCCCCGCAAAACATAGCCGGGTAAAAATGTCTCTTGAATTTACCCCGAGACTGGGGATATGCGGTGGTTGTTCCGTGCCGGTTTAAGAAGTGCAGGGGGTTATACAGGGTGGTGGGGAAGCAGTACACAAGTACCTTGGGCTATTGAAAGAAATTAAAAGAACAAGAATTTTTCTTTTGATAATATAATAATTGAAACCTATTCTAGTTGATCTTATGTTCACCACCACCAGTAATCTCTACTTGTGAGTCATTGAAGTAAACAACCACCGTCTCACCACGCTCTGACAGTATAGTCAGTCCACCAACAACGCCATTTTCGAAATTAAATTGCAACTCGAACCCACCACGTGCTCGCACTCCCCGGATTAATCCAGTCCAGGCCCTCGGACACGCTGGAAGAATGCGAATTACCCCAGGCTCATGGGATTGGACCAACATTTCGATGATACCCGCCCCACCACCAAAGTTGCCGTCAATCTGGAATGGAGGATGACTGTCTAATAAATTGGGGTAAGTAGACCGGGACAAAAGCAGGTCTATGTGCTGGCTACACTCATCGGCTTCGAGTAACCGTGCGTGTAGGTTGAGTAGCCACGCACGACTCCAGCCAGTATGGCCGCCACCATGTTCCGCGCGTCGGCGTAGAACTACTCCGCACGCCTCTGCCAGCTGGGGGGTTTGTGTTGGCGTAATTGCATTTCCGGGATGTAGGGCCCACAGATGGGACGTGTGACGGTGTCCCGGTTCCACTTCGGCGTAGTCGGTGGCCCATTCTTGTAGATACCCAGCAGGGGAAATCTGCATTGGTGGGAGACGAGACTTTGTAGCTTGAACTGCCGGAAGAAGGGAATCCTCGAGACCAAGTCTCTTTGCACAGGATTGGAAGGCATCCAGGATAGCCTCAATGATTTGGATATCGATCGTTGATCCTTCGCACAAGACACCCTTTTGCCCCTTGTGGTCGTAGAATGAGTTCTCTGGAGAAGCAGATGGACTGGTGACAAGATATTCACCATTGGCATCTTCGACCAGGAAGTCGAGGAGGAACTCCACGCACCCGCGCAGGGTGGGGAACATTCGACGAAGGAACGCTTCATCGCATGTATATTGGAAATGATCCCAAATGTGGTAGCAGAGCCATGCACCACCCAGAGGCCAGATACTAGCAGGCATCCATCGATCCACGGGGGCTGTATCGGCCCAAATATCAGTGTTGGAATGGGCTGTCCATCCCTGACATCCGTACATGATCTGAGCGGTGGCCTGTCCAGGTTCAACCATGCGCTCCAGTAGGTCAAACAAAGGAAGTTCACATTCTGACAGGTTGCACACATTTGCAGACCAGTAATTCATTTGAAGATTGACATTGGTGGTGAACCTGCAGCCCCATGCCGGATGGAAGGATGGGTTCCAGATACCCTGGAGGTTTGCAGGAAGCGACTTCTGTCCATCCCGACTACATGATATCAGGAGATAACGATTGTAGTTGTGATAGAGGGCGGTGAGCCCCGGATCTCGACAAGACTTAAGACGTTCGTCGGTTGGGATTTCAGGAGAGTCCGGCCCAAGTTGCAATTCCATTCGGTCGTACAAAGACTGGTAGTCCGCAACATGACGGGCGCGGAGATCCTCCAGTGAGAGGCCCAAAGCATTCTCTGCATCTTGCTTGGTTCGCTGATCAATGTCTTCGTGTCGGAAGGTAGTTTGCGCAGCAATGACCAGCACTGTATCACTGGAGTTCACCACCAGATTATTTCCAATCTTGGTAATGGTACTATCAGCGCTGTCGCAACGAACTGATACACTGCAGCATGCTCCATTACTATTCTTGCCCCCAGGCGTGACATGCATAGTAATGGAGTTGCTGGTAGTATTGAGATCGTCAAGCCATTCATTGGTTTCAAATTCCAAGTCACTCATGCGGGTCAGACGAACGACAAACTCAGCCTTGCTCGATGAACGCAATCTGATCGCAATCACATCATCCGGGTAACTGGCCAAGACTTCACGTTCGAAGTGAACACCCTGGTACTCATAACTGACATGCGCAGTAGCACTCGCAACATTCAGCGAGCGCCGATATCCTGTAACCTGACTGGGATCATGTCCCAGATCCAAGAATAGGTTTCCAAGCGGCTCATAGTTCCGCTGGCTGATCGGGTTAGCGAAAAACGCCAGCTTGGCGATCTTCTCAGCTTCCGCATGGTTTTCCGCGCGTATAGCCTCTCTCAGGCGCGGCAGATACTCGAGCGCATCTTGTGGGTTGCGATCTTGTGGTCCTCCATACCACACTGAATCCTCATTCAGCTGTAACATTTCGGTGTCGGTGCGTCCATACACCATGGCACCCAAGCGCCCATTTCCGACTGGCAAGGCTGAATTCCAGTCCTCTGCAGGCCGTTGGTACCATAATTCCGACATGTTCAATAGTCTCCAATGGCTTTGGTCTGCTGGTCTGTGTTGGCTTGATGTAGAAAAAGGCGGCAGTTCGGTCCGTCAGCCGCCGATTTCGCACAGAACAGGCAGAAAGACGTTGAATCAGATAAACTCAAAGGAAACAAGACTCGATGGAATGAGCAATAAATCAATCCGATTTGTCAAGTGTAAAGGATTCCTCGTAATCCTGTTAACAAGCGCCAGCTCTAACTCTTTCCCCGGCTGTTCCCCGGATTCCAGGCTAAATGTCTCCCCCCAAATTATCATTCGCCTAAACCGGGGTCGATGGGCCAGATGGGACTAGCGTTGGGGAAAGATCGAAGTAAGACTCTCTCCAGTTTAACGCTAATGTCCCCCGCGATCGTATCTCACTGGTGGGAAATTCTTAGGGCAGAGAGCGAAATGCAATTTGAGAATTGGCGTGCAAAATGTACAATGTGACCATCAGCACTCACCAATCATGGTTCCTTGCAATTATATCATGCCACAAGTTAATCTCGCAAAGCTCATTTCTTCCCCGTGGCAAAATAGGTTGCATCTGGATGCGGACCCGTAGTTTCGTCGCCCCCTAGCTTCCTGAGGCCTGATTCAAGGAAGTAGATATACCCCGGCATATCCCGCTCTTGGCTGGAATTTGACTGCAGCTCAAGGGTCCTCGACCCCATACTTCTGGGATCATATCTTTACTCTATACCAAGTCCATTCCAATCGAGTTCGCCAACGATGACCAAGTCGGATACTGCCCACCTCGAGGCCACGATGGGCAAGAGCGGAGATCTGGAATATGTTGAGGAGGTTGCTCTGGCACGCGTGACCGAGGAGGACCTGTGGAAGTTGTCCCAGGATTCTCTATCTCTCAGGTCGTGGACCGGATTCCGTCTGTTTCTCATCATGTTTATTCATGGTTGTAACCAAGCTGGATTTGGAATCGACTGGGGTGTGATCGGCGGTATCAATGCCATGGAAAAATGGCACGACTACTTCGGTTTCGGGAACAGTGGTGGCACATATGGGTTGATCAACGCTCTGATGCAGATCGGTACCGTCTGCGGAGCCCCCTTCATGGGTTTGGCGGATGTGTTTGGTCGTCGTGCCATCAATTTCGCCGGCAACGCCATTGTCATCTTCGGAGCTCTCCTGCAAGGCCTCGCCGTGAATCTGCCGATGTTCATGGCCGGTCGATTCTTCCTGGGCTTCGGCTCTGCGCTCATGTCAAGCTCTCAGTACATTGGCGAGATTTCACCTCTTCATTTGCGTGGTCTCATGGTCGGCTTTTTCGGCGCATGCTTCCAAGTCGGTAGTCTTGCTATGCTTGGTGCCATGATTGGATTTACCGATTTGCCTGGCAATAACGCCTGGCGTGTTCCTCTCATTCTGGAGTGTTTGTTCCCGGCTATTGTCTGTACGGGCATCTACCTTCTGACTCCGGAGTCGCCCCGTTATTATGTCTTGAAGGGCAATCGCGAAAAGGCCAAGGAAGTCGTCGCCAAGTATCACACCACTAGTGGCGATATCAATGAGCCTCTTGTCGAAATTGTTGTGAGACAGATAGAGGAATCTCTCGAAGCCGACACGACGGGCTACAGATCCTCATGGGATTATCGGGTCTTCTTCACTAAGGTAGCCCGTTACCGACTGCTGGTGTTGATTTTGTACTCGCTCTTCCAGCAATGGAATGGAGGCGGTATCATCACGTATTATGTGGGTGGCTAGACCAAACGGATAGTTCCTTCAGTCGCTAATGTATTTTCTTAGATGGCTCCCTCGTTGGAGCAACTTGGCATTACAAACGAGAAGAGCCTTCTCGGTTTCAGCATTGGCACCACCGCAGTCTATTTCGTCTTTACGGCCGTTGGCGCACTCATCGTCGACAAGTTCCGCAGACGAACCCTGATTTTTATCGGACTCATCAGCATGATTGTTTTCCAAACGGCTACGACGATCACGGCGTGGCAGTATACTCTTCATGCCACTGCAGGGGCGGCGGCGTGCACTATTCTCTGGATCTTCCTTTACCAAACCTTCTCGGCGACATTTGTTGCAACCATGCACAACCTGTATCCGATTGAAATTCTCTCTCTACCACTTCGTGCCAAGGGAATGGGACTTTACGGTCTTATCCAAGGTGCTGCCGGAGCCGTGCAGTCTTACGGAATTGGCGTTGGTATCCAAAAGGTCGGATATAAGATTTGGGTCGTGTACATTGTGTACAACTCGATCCAGCTCTTCTTGTCGTACTTGTTCTTCCCGGAGACAAGCGCTCTGTCTCTGGAGGAGATTAATACCGTGTTTGAGACCCCAGGAGTCCACCCGGTGAAGATGTCGTTGAATATTGAGAAGGCCAAAAAGGCGAGAGCAGCGGCCCGGGACGAGGAGGGCAATGTTGATCGATAAGCACCCAGTATCAGAGAAGCTGTTTTATTAAAGGGAAAAGATAATACGATTCGATATATATCTCCCGTGTTTGTTCCAGCTCCAAGCTCTGGTCTGGGTATTTGGCTTGAGACTTTACAAACTTAAGAGCCATATCAACATCAATGCTATGTAGCCAAGCACCAACCCAACATTACACATAGATCTGACAAGTCAAATGCACAGGTGGAACAGTTGAAACGCGTCGGACCCGATATAAGCCTGCGCTTACCCGTCGGAGGGCCGCTTGTTCCGTTACACAATTCCCGTCTGTTTTCTCAAGCGTATATGAGACACCAGAGACACGTCCAAAATAGTTATCCCTCCCAACTTCCTCAGATGACAGTGTTGACCTCAAAGGTCAGATCTACAATTGGTTGACATCAGATGATCTCACGAGCCCTAAAGCGCCCAGACCTTCCTCGACCCCCATCCATTTCTCGATGGGATATCTCCGAGACTTCATCGCCACCAGTCCAGAACACAATAATGGCCTATAGGTCCCCTACATCTCGGCCTGCAGCGTTGCACAAACAAATCAGGTACCGAGTTAGGACCTTTCGCACTCCGATCCTTTTTTTCCCTTTTCTCAGAGGCTATGATGGATTGACCCATCAATTACAATCATGTGCTTTGTCAAGAAAAATAAAACGGTCAACGGGTTTGCTGCAGTCTGTATCACAGATGACCGAGTGTAGTGCTCTGTAGCCCTAATATGGTTATCCCTGGAAGAATTGGATGGTGACGCAAGCCAACAAAAAAGGGACAAAAAGAGACACTGTGGCTGAAGTATATATAGTTCAGCTGGTTTATTTCCTTTTCATCCTTTGTACTGAAGACATATATATGTTTTTGGTTGTAGAAGAGAAAAGCCAACTTATAGTCTGGGCCAGACACCGCGAGACCAGTAACATCGAGATCTCGGCTCATCTCTGCAGATCTTGAAGGTTCGCCAAATGGACAATGGTCCATATTGAGATCCTTACAAAGATCATAGAGACGGGTAAGGTGGAAATGACGGGCAGGCTACATCAACTCTATCTTCGTGTAATTCGGTTGCTTGTCTGTCCGGTTGACCCTCGTGGCAACCGTATAGAGCTAAACCTGTCGGTCTCTCTGAAGACCGGAGATTGTTTGGTGCAGCCAACCTGTCCTATTAGCCGCATAAAAAAGAAATATATAAATGTACAGTTTCTAATCTACCGACCCTGATACAGATGTGCGCACGGCCATACGGACCGAGACGGGACCGCATCTCCCGATATTCAACCCTTCCAACAAAATTCCTAGTCATGCACGTCCGGTTGCGCGATCTATTCAAACACGGTGTCACCATGGCTTTTTCACTAACAGAGGCAAGGCGGCAACTTAGATTGGCTCGGCTTCTCATCACGAGACAGATGGCACTGTCGCCAAAAAGCAAACGGGTCATCGCCGCTCAACACGGGGTGTGCAGGGCCCTTCTTCGAGTACCGTTCTCAGAGGTAATATGATTTTCTGAAGTTGTTGGGGGTTCAATTTCTTCATGTGTCTTTTGATCTCCTTCTCTTTCCGGGATGGTTTGACCATGGCCATACTCCCCCTTTTCTGCGCGTTGGGAATTGAGTGTCATACATCCGGAATGTCGGGTATTAGATGTGAACGGTGAATATGATCTTGCCATGATATAACTAATCGAGATTTCTCTTGCATTTTCCCGAACTCTTTTGTCGGTCCTTAATTTGGAAGCCCTTTTTTTCGTTTTGCCACTCTATTTCTATGTTTGCTTCAGGTGTACGCCAGGCCGGAACATTGCTCATGAATTATTCGTGTCTTTGGGATATACATACTTCCTTTGAATACCGTGCATATTATCTTTCCCTTCTTCCAAAACATATTCCATTGCCAGAACACGGCTATAAAATAGGTTATTGTTTGCATCGACAACCTATCATCCTCTCTCATGGTTCAGTCCGAGATGCCCCCGAAGAGTACACAAGACAACATGGTGCCCGAGGCAAAAGGAATCAAGTACGACGAATGCGAGATGGCACTCTTCCGCGCCAAATTATCGTATCATGCCACGATTGACGAACGAATGGCCTCACAGAACTCAAACCTGACTTCGATCGCAGAAGCCCAGGCTCGAATCCTCAAGGGATGGGAAATACAGATGCAGGGCACAAAGGATTTAGCTGGCAAGAATGAAGGTCGCTCTGCAACCGACAAGAGAGCAATGGCACAGTACGAGTGGAGATATACAGCCCTGGAGAATGCTGCGACGAAGACGACTGGGAAGGGATAGCGACAAAAGTGCTTTTATTTTGATTTCTTTTACTATTGTTTGCGCCCACCTTGAATGATACGAATGCATTGCTGGCGTTGATTTAGAAGCTTGACAGCTCAGTTTGATGTGCTCATGCTGAAATACTATGTTGATTTTTCACTCTGATATCTGCTCTCATAGTTTGGGATTTACCTCACGGGTCTTCATTTCCAATATGTTATCTTCCATAGTCCATATCTCTCGCCTGGTTATGGGCTATGTGTGAGGGCAATATAATTGAATGCCTGGTTCCAATCCTAAATCTCTGACTCGAGGGAGAATTCGTTGAGTGTCACACAAGCAGGTTCGTCAACATTGCAACAGTAACGGAAGTATCACCGCGTGTGTACTCATGCAAAGGACTCGGGTGTCCCATTTAGTGAAGGATGTTCGGGATATATGGGAATCAATAAGTTCACGAATGACTGCGTCATTGTATAACTCTGTGTACGGGCAACAGTAGATACCAGGTTGGCTGAATCTTCATTCATTCGACCTCCTGTCAAAATAATATACTGATTGTATGGATGATATATCCCCTTGCAGTAGGAAATAACCCGAACAGCACGGCTATTGTCGTATCTGTGGGATAGTGGTATTGAAGCGCAGTAATTGCAGTCTTATTGGTTGAATTGTGGAATTCCGATGAACTCCGGGCTGTCTGTGTAGGTTGTGCAGGAAAACCATCACTGCTACAGTAGGTGCAGTAGGCGCAAATGGAACCTTTTCGATTCCTCTGCTTTCTGTGGAGCCTGTGACTCTAATTTCTGATCAATGAGAGACTTGCACTCAGATCACAGCGCCCATCGGAGACCTCCGACATGGCTTGCCATATAGTGGGTCAACAGCCCAACTCCGAAATCAACTCCGAAAGGCCTCAAACCGGCATTGGATCTGGCACTTAGCGGCTCAGGACCAAGGCGAATAGGAAAGATAGGCTCCGATTGGCTCCAATGAGACGAGGATAGAAGAAGAATGGAGTTGTCGAGTAATGGAAATGCCTTTTGGAGGGGGTTCCTTATCGATAACCCCCCTGCTATTTAAGTATACACCCACTCGCCCTTTTCAACTCTCCAAAACAATACCCCCATTAAGCGCATACTCCATACAAGCCCAAAATGCAGGTCGCCGCCGCCGATATCGACAAGGTGTTCGCACACACCACCAACCTAGCATCATGCAACTTAAACAGCAAGGTCCTGGCCTGCTCAAACGACTACTTCGCTTCAGTCGATAACCTCCTAACTCCCACTCCCTCAATCTCTCGCCCTGGCGTCTTCGTTCACACCGGTGCCTGGTACGACGGCTGGGAAACCCGTCGCCACAACCCAGATCCCTACGACTGGGCCGTCATCAAGCTGGGCGTCGCCGCGGCCTACATCCACGGCGTCGAAGTAGACACAGCACACTTCATTGGCAACTACGGCGAGAAGGCAGAGCTACAAGCTACGCATGCACCAGAGGGTAGCGGCATCACAGATGCCCAGATCGCAGACCCCAGCTTCGCCGGCTGGAAGACACTTCTCCCCGCTTCCCCTTGCGGTCCCTCCCAGCGCCACGGATGGAAATTCTCCGACGAGATCACTCAAACTCCATACACCCACTTCCGTCTCCTGATGTACCCCGACGGTGGCTTTGCGCGTCTCCGTATTTACGGTCACGCTATCCCCCCTCCTGCACCCGCTGTCCAGGCTGCCGAAGCCACCGTCGAAGAGCTCTCGTCTGCTCTTAACGGTGGTGTGGCTCTTGCTGCTTCCGATGAGCACTACACACCCTCTTCTAACATTTTGCTTCCGGGCCGCGGAAAGGATATGGGTGATGGATGGGAGACTGCTCGTTCGCGCGCTGCTGGTCACGTCGACTGGGCTATTGTCAAGCTGGGTCTTCCTGGCTCCGTCTCCAAGGTTGTTGTTGACACCAAGGACTTCCGTGGAAACTTCCCTCGCGCTGTGCGCGTGCACGGCCTGGTTGCTGGCACTGCTGGTGAGGGTGTGCCCTCGGCTGATGACGCCAACTGGGTTGAGATCGTCAAGGGTGACAAGCGCTGCCAGGCAGATACCGAGCATGTCTTTGGGCCCGAGGAACTCACTGCTGGTGGTGAGGATACTCGGGTGTTCAGCCATGTCAAGCTGACCCTTGTTCCTGATGGTGGTGTCAAGCGATTCCGCATCTTCGGTCGTCGAGCTTAGGGTTTTGTCTGATATCATGAGAATTATGTATATAGCTGATATTCTACACGTAAATAATGCATTATGTTCAAATGTCCAAGTCACCGATCACATTCAATGAAGAAATATGCCATTGATCATGATTATGAGCGTAAAACATCATCGTGCTGGAAAAGAGAAAACCAGCTGCTGAATCAAGCCCCAAAAACAAAAAAACACTAGTTACATGAAGAACTACCTATGCAGTGCATGAGACGGAAAAGAAAACCAAAACCAAAAAAAAGATCGACCCAAATGACGCCTAACTTCTATCTTTGCACACTCGGGTATAAATTAACAATGCATGGACTCATTTATTTTCCAGCGACAATGGCCTCGGTTCATCTGAAGCCGAAGAGGAGTAACTGGTAGGTGTGCCGGCTCCAGCATCAATACTTGCTTTCGAACGCTTTTCTCGAATAGCAAGACGAGACTTGGGATAAGATGGCGGCATAGGAGCGAGATATCGATCCAATAGTTCACTCAGAACGGGCGAGCGGACCGGTTTCGGGAGATAATTGTTCATGCCAGCCTCCAGACATTTCTCGCGATCGCCTTCGATGGCACTGGCGGTCATGGCGATAACTAGCACTGCGTTTACATTTGGGTCGGGATCCCGGCGCAGCTCCCGCGTTGCGTTGTATCCGTCAAGAGTGGGCATCATCACGTCCATGAGGACCACGTGGAATGGGTTGCCTTCTTGGGAGCTTGCACGCAGAGCATCGACGGCTTGTTTGCCGTCGCTGTATGCCTCGCACTGGAGGCCAAGACCAGTGACGAATTTGACGGCGATCTTTTGGTTGATTGGGTTGTCTTCGGCAATGCAGACTCGGATTTGGTCACGAGGGATTTGAGTGAGGTCGCGAGCTGGGGCTCGACGTACCTCGTTTTCTGCGTTGCTCAGATCCTGTGACCATGCAGTCTTGACGGCCGTCTTCTTGGGTGCTTTGTTGAAGACCAAGTGGAATGTCACAGTCGTTCCCACCCCGGCAGTCGATTCAAGCCAGATAGCTCCGCCAAGAACATCTTCGATGATAGCCTTACAGATTGACAGGCCAAGGCCACTGCCGCCGTATGATCGTTCCGTGGATGCATCGGCCTGTGAGAATGGTCGGAAGAGGCGCGCCTTTTGTTCGTCTGGAATACCGATACCGGTGTCCGTGACCGAGCATTCAAGACGAACCCGCCCTTTGCCCTCACGTGCAACCTTCGCTTTGACCGTAACTGATCCGGCAGGAGTGAATTTGTAACTGTTGCTGAGAAGATTCATGAAAATCTGGTGGAGACGAACAGGGTCGCCAAGGACAACAAGCTCTGGTGGTACCTTATCGAGCATTTCGATGGTTTCTAACCCTCTGTCACGATGCGTATATCGCAAAGCCCGGATGACCTCTGATATGGTTTGTTTTAGATTGAGTGGGACAGTCGAGATTTTCATTTTTCCGGCTTCGAGCTTCGAGAAATCGAGGATGTCGTTGATAAGGGTGAGCAAGGTATCAGCACACACACGAATCGACTCGACGTATTCATCTTGCTCTTTGTCAAGGTAAGTGCCCTTGAGGAGTTCTGACAGACCAATCACGCCGTTCATCGGGGTACGCAGATCATGAGATATATTCGCGAGGAAAATTGATTTGGCTTTTGCTGCATCTTCCTTTAGCTTCACGTTGTGCTTGGCTTCGGCCTCCGCATTCTTTGCCTTCTGTTCGGCCTCGCGTGCCAATGCCAATGCACGCTTTTGGGACTCAATCATTGAAGCATTCTTGGCGCTGACCTTGCGAATCTCACGGAAGAGCAAAGCGTTGGACAATGAAATACCAATCTGGTTGCAAAGCAAATGTAGGACCACAACGTTGCGCTGCGTGAACCAATTTGGCTTTCCTTCCAAATGAATGACGCCGAGAAGACGATCTCCTTGCACGACGGGCAATGCGATGACAGACCGACCTGCGGGGAATTTCGCTAGGTAGGTCTCGCTCACGTTAGAAAACCGTTCATCTTCGAGAACGTTGTGAACAAGAACTTCCTCCTTTGTGCGCATGACATAGTCTGATATATGTAAGGCCATTCGATCCTCCATTTCCGAGAAAGGGAGTCCTTCTGGGAATGACTTCTGGCCCTTTTCAGAATCACCTGCTGCGGCAATTGCAAAGCCGTTGTCATCAAATTCAGTAGCAATGATGGCGAAATCGGAACCGTTGCAAGACTCTAGGATGATCTCCAGCATTTTCGTGAAAAGCTTGTCAATTTGAAGCTCGGATGACATGACTTGGCTGGACTCGAGAATGCTGGACAAATCAATAATGTCTAACCCGACACTTGATATGTCTAGATCCCGTTCTCCGGCAGCAACGCCATTTTGTTCAATCCACTGATGTCTCCTTTCATCCTCTTCCATCTTCTGGGGAGTCAGAATCTCTTCTTGCACAACATCACGGCTGATCTCAAGGAGGGAATCAATAGTCTGACAGCCAACATCAACTGTTCTTGCCGATGTGGCTGTCTTGAGTAACCATTCGTGTTTCTCAGCAAGCTGTGACGATTTGCCACCGGCGCCAATGGAGCTCCAGGAAGCGATGGCCTCTTGGATTACAGCACGAGCCGCTCTCTTTGCTCCACGTCTAACCAAAAACTCTCCCTGCAGCTCAAGGGCCAAGGCTTCTTCAAGGGGCCAGCCATGAATTTGGCAATGGTCAATCGCAGACTCGTAGCCCCGGATGGCACCGCTATGATCGTTTCGAACCTCGGCGACCAGGGCTTCCAGAATTAGAG